TGACATGTATCAGGTACTCATTCGTGGACAAAAACTGGTAGCACTATTTTGCATTCAGAGCCAAAGTCTTCTCCACTGAAAATGTCTCAGTTTCTTTTAACAAGAACTAGCTTGCTAAGAGAAGAAAAATTCAAATCCAAGTAGATATAAACACCTTATCTAAGTTCTTCTCTATTAACTGCAAACTTTCTCAAAAAACTAGCACTTAGATTTTCACATTCAGGCAGAGATTTTTATTTGTAAAATCTAATTTTAAATGCATTGACTAAATCAGCACAAAAGACCGTAAGGACATTTACGTTGTGAACATCTGATTAATGATGATTTAATTTAACTTGATTAGGAACAGTTGCAAGATAAAGAGAAATGAATTCTGTTCACTGAAATGGAACATTTGTGTGGGATTTGCACAATGCAGGCACTAAAGTTCTGAGGCTTCCATTGGTCCAAAACACTATAGACACCTATTACCATGAAAAAGTTAATTAAAATTTAATTTGGAAATCAGAAAATTCATTTTGTCCTCAAAGTGCAATTATTTGGTAATTTTTAGGACAGAGCTAGTAAACACTATGGATTATATTCTTTTTTGTTAGAATAGAGAATCAAAATTTTTGTATCAGCACCTAAGATGACACTAAGAATTCCATGAAATAAATACCAGCTTCACAGCCCTGTGTAAGTAATTCCTTCTATTCAAACTTCAGCTAAAACCATCATCTAGGAAAAATGACTTCTGGGGATTCCCATTTGGGAGTACTTGCTCATTAGTATTTAAATGGTCTAAGATCTCACCAAATTAATTTTGACTGAGGTAGATTTATAAATGTAAAATAGTAGCTCATCCAGAATAATTCCCTAAAGGATTTTTTTTTTTTTTAATTCCACAGTTAAGAATGTCTCACTCAGTTTACCTTAGTGTAGTTTGGAATAACACATCTATCTTCTCATACCCCAGAAAAACAGCACGAATACGTAGCTTATAAATCATGTATTCAACACAAGAGCAGACAGCTCCTAGCAAACAGAAAAGAACTAGATACCCTTCCCAATTCTCAGTTTTGGATGAAAAACTTTTTAAACTTAGTTTCTCTCCTTTAACATTCAGACGTGCTGCCACAAAGCTCTTCAGTTATGGACAGAATGAGACCATTACTAAAGGAGGAGAGTTACAAGAAGTGTAAGGTGACTTCTAGCCTGTAATCTGAGTTCTGTTAATCACCTCTCTGTCTGTAATGAAAATATTGAAGATGTACAGTGAGGTACGTAACATTTCCAGCCTTCAAATATGAAGCATAGAGCAGAATTTATTAATTCTAAGTATGGCTGGACAAAGGCAAAGTAAACTGCTTTCCAAAAACCAAGCCATCTTATTTTACCCTGTTGTCTTAGTAGCAAAACTCAAATAAATTTGGTTTAATTAAAACAAATCTTACAGAAAGCCAGCATAACAATGAGAATTAAATAAAAAAACGCAGAAGACAGAGAAGTTGATTTTCAAGGTTGAACTACTGGAATGAACCAACTATTGAAATATGTGTTTTCATTTCACTTTGAAAATATCTGAACTGAGTTTCCAGCTTTGTACAAGCTTCTAATTCTTGTTATGCTTTTCTCTACCAGTCCCATACTACTTTTCTCCTCTTTGAAGTAATTGCCCACTTTAGATCACCTCATCTCTGTGTTTTCTTCCTGATAAGCTACCTGTTTTGAGCTCTTTTAAGATAAGATATTTAATTCAGCATTTCCATTCATTTTTTTTGGTCCCATCTCTAAAGTTCTTAAGAAGCAGGACCAGCACCATAAACAGTATCAAATTCACCAATAATGCACACACGGATTAAAATCATCTCCCAGTCACAAAGTCAACTCTGTAAACCTCAAAGGAGCGTAAATAGTTCTGCTGCATTGTTTTCCTACTGTCATCCAACCCTTTTCCAGGGCCAGTGCTTTCCAGGTTATTAGTGTCTTTCATAGTTGGTTCCAGATTTGTAACCTGACATTTGGCTGCATTAAGGACGCAATTGACCCGATGGCTACAGTTCACTAAATGCTCACCATAGTTGCTGCCTACTTTTGTTTATCATTGCACTAATCTTTGGGTTTTCAAAGTTTATTTTCAAATAATTGATAGCAGCTAAACAGTACCAGTCCTACTTTTAATCTCTTCAGGAACCCATTCCAACTATATCCATACCATAGAAACACCACAAGCTTACTGCTTTTGGCATGCCATGAATTCAGTATTTATTATTCCAGACTCTCGCTGCTGCTCACTGTCTCATCTGCCCATAGAAGAGCACATGCCTATGCTGAGGCCTGTCGGGCTTAATCAGCACGAGCAAGAGGAAGGTGCATCTGTCAGTCTATTCTCCCTGCACAGAATAATAAAGTTTAAAGATCATGGGAGCTTTAGCTTCATGCAAGAAACTAAGCAGGGAGCTAGTAATAGCACCTCTGAGTGCTCGCATGCTCTTCCTTGATTCATTTAATATTGGACAGATTTTCACCAAAGAGCAAGGACAGCATGAGATAGCTGTTAATATATGCTAATTGTACAAGTGTGTCCAGGAGTCTGATTAAAGCAGTATGTTTACAAATGTCTCAGTGTGCTGCTGGAAAAAAAGAAAAACCCAAAACCTAACAAGCCTGATTGTGTTTATACAAAATAAATGATTACAAAGATGGGAGTAGTGTCCAAAAAACCCCCAAACCAAAATCACAAGCATTCAGGTCCAGAGAGATTTTCTTAAGAGAAAACATTCAGTTTTGGATTATTTGGCTGTTGTGAGATAAAGGATTTCTAGGAAAGACAAGCAGAGATGAAGCCTGAGCCTTTCATAAACTGCCTACAAGAGCAAGCGACAGGATTATTACCTGTATTTCATGGAAGCTAAGAGGAATTCCCCAGACGCTCAGCAGCCTTGCTTTAAGGGAAGGATCATCAAATTCCTTCTCCCTTGTTTTAGTCTCCCTTCTCCCGTGTAGCCAGTCTTAACTGCGTATCCACACAGGTCTGTACTCAAAGGACTGTTTTGTGCCAAAAATGTCAAGACGTTAGCTACACGAGTGAGAATTTAATGTTAATAAAAGGTACGACATAAAATTATGAGACAGAAGATTCTATAGGTTTTAAAGCATTGAGAAGCAATGAAATATTTAAACACAAGCACTGATACGTTTTCTTAGTGCTTGACAAAACGCCAACTACTGGGATCCCCAGTTACTCTCAGCTGCTACTGAACACCAAAATTTACCAGCTATTTGAAACAAAGAGATTGTGATAATATGCTGTTGAGTTTTTTGGCATAATATGAGGGAGGGCAAAAAACAATTTAGTTAACCATTGTCCTTCATACATCAGTGTTTAATTAATAATGGTCTTCAAAAGTAATAAGCAATGTAACTTTACCTATATTCTGAACTGAAATATGCCCAAACCACAGACTGTCCAAGATTGATATCACAACACTGACTATGGCCTTGCATTTATATAGAGAAGTGTTAGTATATAAAATATATGCACACTAAGTGTCCATTCCTTTCAGGCTTAAATATTTGGCATGCAATACAATCATCACTTCATCACAACATAAATTTGGAATAAAACAAGAATTGCCTATAGTCTTTTAACTTAAAATTTTAATTACTTAGCACGTGAAATGAATTATGATTAAAATCATGCAGATACTCAGATTACAAAACAAAATACTTGAAATACAATTGCACATTTAAAATTTACCCAGTCAAATATCTACTTTGAGGTAAAAATGTAAGATTAATCAAATATACTGAGCAATTATAAGCTTAGCATAAATAAATATTGTTATTTTCAGAATAAAATAATCAGTGAAAACAGCATTTTTAACACATATATCAGTACAAGAGATACAGCCCATTTACCCTCCTTCAGAGTGTGATCCACTCATTTGATATAAAGCCACAAATACTATAAAACTGCATACTACTAAAGCACAGCAGGCAGTTTGCCCACAACATAAGATTCCTACCTGCATACGGCAGTATAGAGCCAAGTTATTTGAAAAAAATATATGATTTCAAAGATTAAGGGGTTTAATTATACAGCTTCCAAACAAGTATAGTGAAAGCTGCACAATCAAATTCCCACTGAAAATTACAAAATGCCTTTGGCCAAAATTCCAAATATAAAGACCTGAAATTCAGGTCAAAAATACACAACCAATTAATATGTCTACTTTTGTGCATGCAAGCGACAGCATAAAAAAAGTTCTGTGTTTGTGCACCTTGGTGGTTTTTGTTTGGGATTATTTAATTATCTGTTCATGTGAAGAATCATCCAGCTGCACAGGGTTCAACTGCATATTCAGGTTCAAAGTGACCACAGGCCTACTCTCATGAAATCTAAATCGCAGCGTTTCTCCAGATGACAGTGGTCTCTCCCATTTCTCTAACTTCAAGAAGAAAAGAATTCATACTAATTTTCACCACAAGAACAACCAGAATACAAATGAGAATGATCTATTATAGTCGGCAGTAGCTGAGGTTTGAATCTCCTGAACTGATTCATTCCGTGTGAGCAATGACACAGGGAAAATGACATAAAAACTAGAATATAAATATTATACTGCACCATGAAACACTACAAACAGAATATACAAAAGTTATATTAGGACATTAATCAGTCTATTAAACAGAACACCTTAATATTAATACAGTTTGGAAGGTAAACATAACCTACAGGCTAAGTTTTCCAATGGCTGTTTGTCAATGCAGCATAAAACATTTCCATAGTGCAAATCTTACCAACTGTATGAAAGATACTGCCCCCTTCAGAAAAAAGCTTCTGCCCCCACCCACCTCAAAATAATGAAGAGTCATAAAGTCATATCTCATTTCACATTTAGTACAAGATGTGGTTTGAAACATACTAGCATAGGGAAGCTTAATTTTAACACTGAAAAAAAGGTTGAACAATGTTGAGAAATTAAAATAAAAAAGTTAGATATGCTATAGCTGGAAGACGTGAAACCCAAAAATCTGATCCATGGAAGTGGGGGAATAAAAAGACACTGATCTTTCCTTTTTTTTTTTCATCTGTTGGAAACATATTGTATGACAACACAGCACGCTCCCTATATTGTACCAACAACTGTAAGATTACTTTAATTGCTGAAGAATCACAGTGTTAAGTATATCTGCTTCTTGTAGTGTCAGGCTTTCATCTGTTAGCTCTTTATTTGGAAAGGTAGTCACAAGAACAAAATCAGTTGTTGCAAATGCTGGACGGGACTGGATAATGAAATCTCGAATATCCTTAATCCTGTGGAAAGGATATGGACATGAAAACTCTGTATGATTTCATTTTGACATAAATCTCTGAACATTAAGATGATCAGAGAACACAAAACCTTCTAACAGACTAAACCATTTAATATGTCCTATTGATTTTACATTTCCATTTGATCCAGATAACTAATGGTTGTAGCCTAGAATTTTTAGCTTCTTGCATAAAAAACCTGAAAAATTAAAATGAATGTCACTTGTTTTCTCAAGTAACAGAAATAAATTTTGTAACATAGAAGTATATTGCAAACTGATACTTAACACAAAGTCAAATAATTTCAATACCAGTTGTCAAAAATTTCACTATTAATTAGTACATTCCAAATAGGCTAAATTATTGATGGAAGGAGGAATCTTAAAATACATGGTGACAGTGATGAGAAAGCAGAGGGGAATTATTAATGCACTTCAATAGCAAGAGGTTTCCCCTACTTCTACTTGACACTGAACTTCTGAACACTATTTCATGAAACAATCACATCAACAGTCTGACAAGAATAATTTAGTTTTATAAGGCATGGATGAAAAATAAGTAAGTTTTTAGAAATAAAAAAATGAAATTTGAGGTTTCTCTCCTAAGACAGTAATCTGACAATAAATGTTTGAAGATCTATTGTAACTAATAAGTAGGCAGATTTACTGTAGTCAAAGAAACAGGGACCTCAATTCTCTATCAGTCTTCAAGGCTTACGACACAAGCAATGCACTTTAGTAGCTGATTTTTATCATACATATGGGCAAGGATAACTAAAAAGATGCACATCCAAGAGAAAGTTAACAATCATTAAAATAAGCTTCTGTCAACACACCCTTGGTTACAGATGTTACTAGGAAGTTTACCACTTCTACCCTTTCATGCAGACAGAAGAAAACACATCATAGCTACAGAGGCTCCCAATAAGCCCGACTGCTTATCGAAGTCACTTCTCCAGCAGGTGCTGTGAAGAAAGGATCTGGGCCTGCACTATCAGTGCATATTGTCAGGTCTGCTAAAATATGAAAAGTCACTGTTGTATCTTCCTCCCCATCGGCATCTCAGTTAAAATCGCCTCATTGTGGTCTGTGTATGTTGTCAGATGAATAAAGCTGCACATTGGCTCTGCCTTTATTCGAGCCAGAAGGAAAAAATGGAAACAGGTGACCTCTCCATGTAACAATATTAACATGGAATTGGGTCCATGCCAAGACCACCTCCAAGGCAGGGTTCAAGCTCAGTTTTAGCAGTTCTAACACAATGGTGCAGATTTCGGATCAGGGCTGGTTTGAATCGTGCTTGCTATGAAGCATGGGTGGAACTACTGCCCAAATCTCTGCCCTCTGCCCAAAGTTCTCTCAGCCACGCAGTGCAAAGTAGAGCTTTGCAGAACCTTGCACTAACTCAACCTCTTAGGCAAATAAATGGGGTTGGCCAACACCATTTGTGGCAATGCCCCAACAATGTCAATAAAGCTGATGGCAAGCTCTAATCGGCAAACTAACAGATCTAAAAAACCCACCAAGTTCACACGCTGACATTTCCAAGGAGATGACCATCCAAAACAAAACAAAGGTTGGTTCTCAGTATTGTGTCCAGCCTACATGCCAGAACTGCAAATGACTATGTTATGTCCATATACCCTTCTGCATATGGGCTGCAGTCTACACTTATAACCCATGTAATGTTTAGTTATAGTCTCAAGTATAACAAGGTAGAAAGCTGGAGCTCTTGATTACAGGCCAAAACATTTCTCTGCCTGTAGTGTGGACTATATTTGATTCAGACTATACACCAAAACACCTTGCAATAAAGTGCTTTCACAGTATCATCACCAAGAAGAGCCCAGGGTAGGAGTGACTACATAGCAAGGTTGTCCAATTTTCAGTCACCCTGAGAATGGTTACGGCTGGTACCGTGTCCTTACAAATCACAGGACATAACTGGTCATGAAAGTTTGTGACTTTGCAGTTATCAAACATCTTGTGTTTCCAGTTACAGAATTTTGCTTTGATAGTAAATTTATCAGCACGTCTATGTTATGAAAATGACACAGAGCTGTAACATTTCAGTGGAGCTCTATTCTTCCTCTTTTTGATGCCCTGTTAATAGTCATTTAATGACAAAACACAAACATTGAAATAGTTACAGTTACCTGCATTGATGCAGAATCAATTTACCTGTGTGTTTGATTAAATCTTTGTATTAATCGGCTTCCATCTGCCAATCTAATTTGAATTTTAGTCGCTGGCACGGAATCATCAATCAGAACAGGTGCATTAAGAATGGATTTCTCCTCCTCCTCTGGGGAAGAAGGTGTGCTGACTATTTCAGGTGTAAGGCTAAAGGATTGAAAAAAAAAACCAAAACAAACCTGGTGTTACTAACGGAGTAAAACCAGAACTGAATAATGTTTCAGTTGTCTTTTTCATTGAATGAGCACCATGTATAGCTAGTTCAAATGAGCAATGAAAATCCTCTCAAAGTTATCTGAACTAAGTATAAATACAGCTTTTTAAATAGAGACACAAATAATGCTTTTGTAGTTTCTTGTCAATGATTGCACTATTTCATATTTATTTTTCTTATAACTGCATATCATTACATTTGTATGATTTTAAATAGGTTATCAAGTACAAACAAAATCATCTTTTTTTATGCTTACAGATCATGAGAGTCTTTGACATTAAGATTTAAATATCATACCTCATGGACTATATTAAAAAATAAGCATGCACCATTTTACTGCATTAAACTGACCCAAACTGCTTCTGTAATTGCTTTCAGCAGCACTGTTTTATGATTCTGGGCATCTCCAACCCTTTTAGAGCACAAATGATACTGACAGGTAATTGATATCACCACATAGTAAGCTTGGAGTTTTTTCCATTTAGTATAAAAATAATATAAATCTGAAGATAACCCTTTGGCTGCTCTTTTCATTGCTTACATACCTGAGACTTCATAATCTACCAAACCAAACAAAAATGCCACACAAGTGTGCACATTTTCTTATATACAGGACATTCTTTCTTCCCCACCTATTTGCTTTAATAATCTCAGCAAGTTCTCAGGTGAGGAAGTTATTCTATACAATTGTTCCCTAAGTCACTCCTACCAGAGTTTACCACGTTCTCCATTTTACTGAGCATATTTCCTCATTTTTAAATAGATGAAATATAGATTGGAAACAGCTAAGAATTTATTGAATTAAATTACTTGCAGAAGCACACCAGTAATACCTTTTTTTGGCAACCAAACATATTACAGGAATAAATGCAATCATAAACAGAAATCTAGAAGTATTTACAATTCAACAGCTAATATCAAGCCAGCTGGAAAAGATGCTATAACGCCTATAACTGTTATGTGAAAAAGCTGATGATTGGCAGAGTTGTAACATTACTGTTTACTCTTACTAACTGACTTAAGATGAACAGAGATGATGCACTTTTGGACAAACTAGTCTGAAATGGTCAGTCACAGGAATGAATTTTGGCACATTATTTTAGCAGCATCAGCCTAATCTTTCACTGGGACAGCAAATTAAACAGAACCAGGCATAAGCTTTTCTAAATCATTAAACTTCAGGGTTTTTACGACATTTATGAATTTTATACTGTAGTTGAAGATGACACTAGAATTGGATGAAGTGGGGGCTCCAGTAAGAGGTTAAAAGTTGAGTCCCTCCTCTCCTACAATCCAGGTTTTGCAGCATTATTTCATCTAGGGGAGCACGTACAATTTGTCAGGTTGGTTGTTTAAAAAAAAACCAAACCACCAAAAAACCCCAAAAACCAGCTCCTACTATAGATTTTTGCAGCATCATTTGAAGTTTTAATCAAATCCTAGTAAAAGCTGAGAGGTTTTGATACAATTTATTACTCATTTATTTTGGATCAAATTAAAAAAATAGTTCATAAAATTATTTCTCTTTCTTAGAACTAACAGACTTGCCTTCAATAGCTTATAATGAGCGACTGTTTACAAGGTTATATTTCAGGACAGTATTTCTGCTGCTTCATTTCAGAAAAGTAGCTGAGTTGCTCCCATAAAAAATTACTTTCCATCTGCATTAAGACAAGCATCAGCCGTATTGTTGCAATAGCATCTCCTATTCCCTTTGTGATGATCCCAGCAGAAGACAACACCACGTACTGCAGCTAAGCCAGAGCAGAATATGTCCTTACTGGCCAGTATGTCATTATGACTAAGTTCTGCCTGTTCCTCACTAAATAGGGAACAATTATTTGGGTCTGTTTCCTCTATCCAGACAGAGATTTGTCTCATGAAATTTGTATAGTACTAATCACCTTTCAGCTTCCTTTGCTCCCGTTATTAACATGGCTGAAGCTAAAAAAAATTATAGGCAAAATTATATGCAAGAACAGGCAGAGAAATCTCATAGTCACAACAAAGCACAAAGTATCTAGCAAATCGATGAGCAGTTCCAGGACATAGGACTAAGACTTAACTTTTTTTTTTAAGGTTTTATATAAACTTCCATGATTACTGGTGACTCTGTGAAATCAGGCTGAGACTTTGTACAGAATAATTTGAACAGAATAATTTCATATTGCTTTTGTCATCTGATTAGCTTCTCCAACAGTCTCCTAATTGATTAAATCCACTTTTGAAATAGCATATGAACACACAACAGAAAACCTAGTGTTTTGTACCTTCCAAGTTTTTGCCCTTCTCCACTGAAAGCTTTGAATCGCAGTCTAGGCTTCACATATTCCTGTTCTTGGTGGTCTTCCATATCCAAATTAACCTGGCCACCATGAACAAGTCGCTGCAGTTCCACAGGGATTTCCCTTAATTACAAAAATAGAAGTTTCCCAATTATGTTCTGAACTGCAATACAAAATTACACAAAAACCTTACACAGTACAGTATGAGTAGACATTATTAGTGAGTTTACTTTAAGACGTCCAATTGTTTTATGAATTTATTTAATCCCAAAATAACAGATAAAATTAAAAAATAAAAGGAAGAAAAAAAAAATCAGTGATCTGACAGCCAAAACCTAGAATGCACTAACAAACACATGAAACTAACAGCTGTGTATAGCAAGCAGCATTCAGAGTTAAACCACCAGAAGGAACCAAACTGTTCCAAATTTTTAAATGCCTCATGCATCTGATGACAAATACAGAACACATTTTATGGGTCCAGGCAGACAAGGAGCCTTGAGCTTTCAATAATTATAAACATGTGGAGAAAATGTCTGTCTTCACTTCATTTGAAAAACATACCTCCAAAAATTGCCATTTTAACTTACCCTCTTTTAACAGACTCAAGAAACTGAGCATTTGTTGGATCTGAATAGGATCTCAATTCACCATCATCTAAACTGAAGCCATTCCTCCATAGTTTCAGCAAAATTTGAACCTATGAAGTAAAAACAGTGAAATAAAAAAATAGATAAATAAGGTATTTCAATTTCATACAGATTAGTTATAGAATTTTTGATCTTTACTTAACAGATTTTGTAGCAGACCACAAACAAGAATGCAAATGACAAAAAAGAACAGAGCATTGCACTGTAACTATCATTGTTAGAATCCTTTAAAAAAGCAGATTATAATTATAGACTACTACCCACTTCAAGACCACTTTTACGCTTGGAGAAAAAGAATTTCTGTATCTGCTGTCCATGACATAACAGATGACATACAGTGACTGTGTAGTGATCTCCACAGTGTTACAACTACTTTTAAAAAGCAGCAAACATTTCTTGTTGATAAATGAAGACATAAATCCATAAAATTACAAATTCCTGATGATACATCAGTTACAGTGAAAACTATTCTCTCCTCAAATCATTACCTTCTGAGCTCCAATAAAGTTGATACCAGCTCCATTCATTTCAAATGCTGAGAATCCTGGAAACCAGCTTCCTTCACTCCCTTCTTATTTTGCTGCCTGCACTTCCAGCCAGAGCCTTTCACCTTCAGAGCCTGTATCTCTCTTCCCTGTGACTAATACCTTGCAGACCTGCACAACTAGGCTTCCCTAGCCAGTAAAACTGACCTTCCCTTAGAAAACTATCTCTGCCCCCAGTTATAGTAACCCCACCGCAATAGGCTTAGTACAGCTGGCCATTACTTAGAGGGTAGAAGGATTACTTAAGAGGGTAGAAGGTAGCAGCTCCTGGTGTGACATGACAGTACCCTCCAGGCTGAACCACATCCTTTGTCCTCACTCATTTCTCAATTTAGTTTCTAGGTATGCTTAACATTTGCTTTAGCCATTCACATGAATAGCAAAGTGTAAAGAACTTTATTTGCCTGCCCGTTCTCCCTCACTTCCTACCTTTTAAGCGAAAGGAAAGAAAGGCCAGACAGTTTTCCAAAAGCCTCTAACCTTCTGCTTTACCATTCCTGGAATACATCCATGCCCTCCAGTTCGAGATTGGCTACTTTGCAAGCCACAACAAGAAACAATTCCTAACCTGAGAGGATTAAAATGTTAGCATAGCTAAGAGAACGCAGAACAATAGCTACAGAAAAGTAACCAAAATGAATGTTTGCTAAGAATTTCAAAGTAATGTATGTCACAAAATTCCGCAATGGAGGCCTTACCCAATCAACATCTGTCCTTTGTGGACACTTTCACTTTAACAATTTCTGCCTAACACATATCTAATATTTATGTATTAGTCTTTCCTCATAGACATAGTTACAATAATGCTGGCATTTCAAGCTGTAAACATGGTTAAGCAGACATCTGTTGGAGATTCTGTTTCCTGCTATTCAGAATTTTACTTACATCTTGATTTTCTCCATATATGTATTCAGAGTGTTTTTGTGATGAGTCACCCAATCTATATCCACCACCCGAAAATGACTGGGGAAAAAATACACAGAAATTGAAATAAATATCTGAAACAGTTTATTAAAATTCTTACTTAGGTGCAAATAAAAGCATCAGTGAGCTTCCTTCTGTGACAAAAAGCAAATATACTGTTCTAACTTGTATACTTTCTAAGTGGAAAATTATACCTAGTAACCATAATCAAGCTAAGTATGTTTCCAATCTGTGCACTTTTTCAAACATTAGTAATTCAATAGATAAAAGATTTTGACTGGTATGCAAGTGCAGTTGATTTTTTTTAAAAAACAATTTTAATTAAAAATAAAGCAAATAATTCCAGTGCAGGTTGATTCCCAATAATTCCCCTGGAATTGCAAGGAATTCCCCACTTTATTTTCTAGAGCAAGCTATTTAAGCATAGATAATACACAACTGTGTTGATCAAATCCTCTGCTATTCACAAATAACAAAAAGGCATTTTTGGTCTCATGTAGTTAGGTGAGTTTTAGAAAGACTGAAGTAAATAGAGATTAAAATATCTTTTAACTTTTACCTTAGCTTTACTGAAATCACCAGATGCTCTTGAGGCTTCGTCTAATGGGACAGCCCCATGTTCTTTTGCTTCTTTGAAGAGTTCAGCAACAATTTTACTTGGATTATTAGAAGCTCCAGAAATCTGTAAACTTCTATATTCTGAGTCACCTGAATAAAATCTTTAGAACAGTAATGTTCATAAGCAACAATCCTGTAAATGACAAGCATAATTTCCCTCCTCCCATTAGAAGAAAAATATTAAAGATCAAAGAGCCAAATTTGGCACAAAATCTTTTCATTCTGATCACAGAAACTTTCCACTTGGTTCTGACTTTGCCAGCAATCCAAGCAGCACTACTCCAGAGACATTAAACTAACAAAACTAGCAAGGTGCCTTCTGGAACAGAGGCCAGAGGTTAGGGGCCAAGGCCACGTTTCAGTGAACGCAGTTCTGATGCAGCCATGGCTTTATACGCCTCATCTTATGCAGATGCTGCCTGCTCGAGAAAGACCCATTTCCTCAGGGGTGTCTTGTGCATGGGACTGTGCCTGGGCTGGTTAGAATACAGATTCACAATTAACACTGCCTTGGCAGAACGAGCGTAAAACTGTTGTTGGAAAACCTGAATGGTCCCACAGTTTGATCTTTTAATTTAAAGATCTAGTATACTTCCAGTATCAGAAACGGAAAGTTTTTAATAAATTTAATTAATCTTTCAAGGCATTTTAAAATCTGCAGAAACTGCTATGAAAGCTAATTTGTGCTCTTCTTCTTCAACATAGTACCATTTCTAGCTCTTGAAGATAAAAGGTTAAACTAGAAATAATTCTGTTCAAAACTGTATCTGCTTGATTATGAAGATCAAGATATTCCTTGAGAATTATCTTGAGGAAGGTGCTATAAATCTCTAAATACCAATGGAATAAATGCTGTAAAAAAATCTATAAATAAATACAAAACCTGGCAAACTTGAGTGTGTTTTTCTTTGATTACAAGAAGCATTAATAACTAATAAAATGTTTTCTACTTTCCTTAACTTTTTCACTTAACCACTTGGGACAAGGCAAATCAATTAATCCACATGAAACTGTCTCTCAGGCCAATGTCTTCAAAATGCTGTTCATTCAATCATATTTTACAACTACACAAAACCAGCAGTGGATATGAAGGTGCTGTACAATCATGCTACTTTTACGACGTCACATAACTGGCAATCCCTTAGTATCATCTCTCCTCTGTACATAATCTGTATTTATTTCCCAATTGCCATTTATATGGAAAATAATTATTAGATTTAGAAGAATTACAGTGGTAAGGAGATGAAACAAGAATTCTCATCAGAGCTGGTATTCAAGAAAGAAAGGAAGTACTCAAATATTTGAGTAATGGATACACAGAACAATTCAGGATATTTGAGAAAGGGCAAAAAAGCTTTTGAGTCCAAGCGTAAGTTGCAACCTTTATATCCACACAGTCACGTGTTAAGACACATACAGGTTTTATCTGACTACAGCCAGCTTCTGCTAAATACGGTTTTATTACAGCAGTGTATGGCTAACACTTACTCTAGTAAGTCACATAGCATCTCTGTAGCTCTTTGCAGGACAGGCTTAGCTCACATACATTTTGAAAAGTAGGGGGGAGCAAAGCGTGAATGTCACCAAAAAAACCCCAATTACTTTCACGACTGATGATTTTGTTTGTTTGTTTGTTTGAAAAATACCTTTGGTTTTCTTTGTCATCGCTCATGCTTCTCTCTGGTTTTCTCAACCTTCTAAGAGAATCAATTTTAAGACTGCCAAGAGAATAAAAGAAAAAGTTTGAAGATGACTGGTATATACACTTCACTACTTCATATCTAACTTCTGAAACTACTTATTTTTCAAGAACTAAAGATATCAAGTAGTTGTTTGGGTTTTTTTGTTCTCACCATACTTTTTTTGGCCAAGTATATAGCTACGGATGCTTCTCAGTGAATAAGCAGGAAAAGACACGTGTATGGCAGAGGCATTTTGCAGTAACAGTTGGACTAGATGATCATTGTAGGTCCCTCCAACTGAACTATTCTATTCTAGCATAAGTTATGGAGAATTCTGCTTTATGCCACTGGTGGTCCCACAGATAACACAGGTAATATGCAAGCTCAACAGCTGTCTCAGAATCCAGCTTACCAGAATTAGTTACACTTCAAATTCTTTCCACATTTTAGCTGGTTTTGTCAAGAGGTATGTTGCCTAGTAAAGTCAACATTGCCTTTTCTTTGATATACTGGAGTCCCTGTCTACGAGGATCCTAAAAAGTATTAATACTCACTTCGGTTTTACACAATTTAAAATTATGTTGAATGACAACATCACAAAGACTTTCAAAATATGATTAAAATGCAGGATCAGATTCTGGTTTATGATAGGAACAGATTGATAAGCAACCACAGGACAAGCTAGGGTTGTTAGCTTGCAAAATGCCAGGAAAAGCTGCACAGATATATGCTCTTATCCTCTGGTACTTGTGATAAAATTCAGTAATGCAAGATGTACATGAGGTAACCAACTACCACGGGATAAGAACATATATACAATCTGCTACATAAGTAATGGCAGATCACTAGTTCAGATTTATGCAGTTAGTCTGATTACTCTATCTTTGAAATAAAGCGTAGCAGAGCAGGCCATCACTTTTTAAAGTATCACTGTTGATAAAACAATGTAATTCTACATCCCAGTGAAGGATCTGCTTCTTATTACTTTCTCAGAAAAAAAATGTATCATTATGGACTTAGGTCATGGGCATTAGAAACACTTTAATCTCTATTTTCTTCCTTTGTTGTATTGTCAGTTTTGTGGGGCTTATGTTTTTGCACCAATAGTCTTAAGTTTCTTAAAGGAGCTTATACAACATGACAGCATATATAACATGACGTTTGTTTCACTAGAGCCCAGAGACATTCTTCTATACCTGCAATTGTGGAAGGCAAGATGAGTAGATGACTTGAGCAGCACTGTTTCATTGCAATTGACACACTGCTCACTTGAGAGCAAACTGAAGTCTACGGAAAGAAAAATCTCATTTTCGGTACCATGCAAATAGCAGCCATCTCTTCTTCCTCAGACAGATTCCAGTACGATTGCCAACAAAGAGCAAGTGTTTGCCAACAGCTCTTGCACTGAAGTATCTGAGATACTGTATTGCAGCTTTTCCTTCAGTCGGGAGTAGGAAGTTGTAACTTCATTATATGTATGGGTAAATGGAGCTATGTGCTTTACTTGGTTATAAACTGTGTGCTAGGTAGCTGACTAGTCAACTTAGGTGGTTTTACCAAAACAAACAAAAAAACTCACCAAAAAAGCTATTATTTTCCAAGTGTCACATACTGTGCTAAAATCCCTCTTCCCAAAGATCTGCATTTGCAGATGCACTTGAAGCATGGCTCTGGTGACTAAGATCTTTGCTGCTGCTTAACCTCCTTTAAAACGGAGATCCACATTGGCAGCAGTGATTGAAAGACAAACCAATACAGGACTTGTTATGGCATCACTGACAGTAATGATTTAAAGACTTCTCTTCTTTAAGAGAATTTAAATAACAATTAATTAAACACTGGCAAGATTTCTTTATAAAAATTTAAAACTACATTGAATCTTCAAATGCTATGTGAACTGCAAACACTGCAGGCCAGCAAAGGTTGGATTTATACATAGATACATGTCTTTCCTTCCACCTGCCAAACCCAGAAAAATTTATTAAGAAGCCCTTCTTATTTCTCTCACCCCACAGGAGCCTACTAATGAACCTACTACTAATTTTTCAAATTAATATTTGTCTCATCAGGTACTGACATAAGTACAACACTCAAAGCAGCCCACTTGTCAAGTTTCACACAAACTACTGATTTGCTGAATTTTAAAGAAGTGAAGAACTGCAGTATTTTTCTGATACAGTAAATTTCCAAATTCTATCTGTGTAAACAAAGAGCAACACTCCATTTCACTTACAGCTTCTTAATCTTATCTGAAGTGGGTTTCAAGTGTTTTGGAATACCATATAGCACAAGTGCTCCTAAATAAATACAGTTTAAAAAGCATTCTGAGAAGACACAGACCCTGTGCTTTATTACAGGGATTCACAATTCCGGATTGTGAACTGCTGTAGATCGCTTTTTCTACAAGGAGGAGATCAAGTAAGTACGACAAAGTACAACACCTATTCAACACATTTCTGAAGTACTAAGCACGTCTTACCTCTGTGATACTTTTGTGTTACTGATATTTTTAGTTGTTGGTTTGTCAGAACACAATGACTGCCTTTTAGCTTCATCTTCGTATAACTCTGCCAAGGCCAACTGTAGGAAACAAAACTCTTTTTAGAAGCCTGTAACTCTAGAACTACATATGGAACAGAAATAAGACAAAAACTAATGCAAAATGTGCACATCACCAGACAATTAGAAACATCAACATGAGAAACCCCAACTGCTTCTCTAAATTCAACTTCCTTTCTGCTTTATGAAAAAAACCCACATGATGCTTAATGCCATTGTGACTTGGAACTTGTACTCCACTGTCCTTTGGTTCACACTGCTTCACTAGCTGCGTTCAGTCTGTATTAGATTCAGAATCGTAAGTATATACACATGTATATAATTCAGCATCATCTCATTATTGAAATAAAGTTACTAGGTAACCCTCTGATAAGACTGGGAAACAAATAATACATTTTACAAACATTTTACATAGAAATAGAAAAAAACATAACTCAAATAAGCTTGTACTGAAATTGACAACCAATTCAGCCTTGCTGGCTCAAATTCAAGACATCATTGCAAATACTTTTTTTTTTTTTAAAAGAAAAAAAAAGTTTTTTCCCCAAAGTTCCCCAAATGCTGCCATATCACTGGCAAGTTCACTTTCAGGAAGTTGTGCTCTAAACATGTCATTTTTAGCAATCTTACTTTTGTCCTGAATAAACTATACTCTGTCAAATCATCCTTAATGTTGTCCCCAAACCATTTTGTTCACACTATGCAAGCGATATTAACATTTTGTCTTACACACTAGAATAGGTACTAGGCTACAATTTCTTTAAAGATTTATGTAGAAGGAATACACATTAAAATAAAATGAAACATCACCCATCCTTCAAAATGCCCTGCTATGAACACAGGATATTAATCCCATATTATTGTGAGGAATTTTCTGCAGGGAAAAAATACAAGCTGAGGAATTATACTCATTAAGAAAATTAAACTAACAAGACAGCTCAAGACAAGCTGAAGACCACTGAAGACCTCCACTCTATCTGAAAATACAAGCAAGTATCTTTTAGATATGTAAAGGTGATGAGGTAAGTCACAGACAAGAAGTCCATAAGCGGACACTAAAAGGAACAGGTAAAGATCTACCCTGTACCATCCCTAATCCAAAGACTGAAGGATGCTGAGGGAGCGTAAAAGGGCATGGTCAGGCTTCTGTACATTTCTTATGCCGCACCTCTTATGATGCCATGACAAATCAAGTACTGCGCTGGCTGGTCATGGTCACTCTGACCCAGGAGCCTACTTCTTTGGTTTTTAACATTTTATCAGTAATTGTCTACCCAAAATGCCTCTCCTCTTCAGTTGACTAACTTATGAACCGAAAGTATTAACACAGATTTTATTACTGATACATATTGCAGCAAAATTAGTCTCAACAGTAACCTATGAAAATCCCAAACAGTAACCAAGAAAAAAAGAAAGCTATATCCATGTTTCTCTGTTAATTAGGTATAATTAAATAAAACAGGGGCAGTTTCAGTTACTAAAAGTTTCACCTGTTTTCCAGTCAATTTGTTGCTAAAATATTTTGAACCTTCATATAGTTGCAAAGCCACACACAAAAAAGGAACACTGCTAGAAGTGTTTGCAATGCTGAGTTACATTTGTGATCTCTCAAACCTTTCCCCATGTAAACCTGGGAAAAGACCTTGTCCTTAATCTTACACCACATTTGCAGAGACTGACGTTTCCATGTGGGAAAGGCCACTCCTACCAAATAATCAAGAAATACAATGGCGCCAAAGTAGAGTTGAACCCCAGCTACTGAGGTGTCGGCAGAGCCCTTCCAGTTCCCCGCAGAGCTGACCACCACACACGCTGACCACCCACCGTTTCTTTCAAGTCCCTAGTCCTCTTTCAGAGGCGTCCTTCCCTTCCCAGCCTCAAAAGGGGGCAAAAAAAGACAGAAAAGAAGACAGCCTCTGCTCAGAGGCCCAGTCGTGCCTGGCTACGACGGGGCAGCCCCGACTGGCAACTAGAGGGGCAGGTGAACTGCGCCCGGCCGCTCCCCTCGGGGGCGTCCCCAGCCTTCCCCCAGGCCGGCCCTGAGGGGACGCGGCACTC